ATCTTAAATTTTTCTTGTGAAACTTTTTTTTTTATAACTTGGGGGAACAGGGTTGGGCAATACAGATCCCCTGAGATTCAAAAAGGTTCCTTCCATGTTCACACAAACAATGGAAAAATTATTCTAGAGATGGCGAATGAATTGGAAGGGGAATTTCGTTTCGAAGATTAGGAAAAATTCGATTTCACGCCGAACCCAAATTACAACGCGAGGGCCGAATCGAAATTTTCCAAAAATGGCGGGGAATGTGTGGCGAGGAGCGGGGATCTTGGGAAGGCGCGCAAAAGGGCGCTGACCCATAATGCATTCTTTCATGACTGTGATCGCTTACCCAATCCAGCCACCAGCCGCACTGTGTAATGGGCGAGCTATAAAATTTCGGCCATCTTGAATTCCCATTAAACCTCCGGTCATTCAAGAGAGACAGCCTCCTTATTGGGACAGGTTAGGGCCCAAAAAGACTTTAGGGCCCCAGAATGTTTTCTTAGGGGCACAGAATTTTTTACTCGGGACACAGAATTTACTCAGGGACACAGAAAATGTTACCGGGACACAAATTGTTACCAGGGACAGACACAGAATTTTTATGAGGGGGACAGATTTTCGAGGGGCACAGAATTGTTATGAGGGCAAAAGAAATTGTTACCCGGGCAGACACAGAATTTTTACTGAGGGACACAGAATTGTTTCTCAGGGACCAGAATTGTTACTCAGGGGCACAAATGTTACTCAGGGGCCAAAATGTTACCAGGGGCACAGAAATTTTTACTTTTAGGGGCACAGAACGTTTTCTCAGGGGAAAAAATTGTTTCTCAGGGGCAGACCAGAATTTTTACTAGGGACACAGAATTTTTTAATGAGGGGAACAAATTGTTACTCAGGGCAACACAGAATTTTACCAGGGGCAAGAACTGTTATAGGGACAACACAGAATTGTTTACTCAGGACAGACACAGAATTGTTACTGAGGGACACAGAATTGTTACAGAGGGACACAGAATTGTTACTGAGGGACACAGAATTGTTACTCAGGACACAGAATTGTTACTCAGGACACAGAATCGTTACTCAGGGACACAGAATTGTTACTCAGGGACACAGAATTGTTACTCAGGGACACAGAATTGTTACTCAGGACACAGAATTGTTACTCAGGGACACAGAATTGTTACTCAGGACAGACACAGAATTGTTACTGAGGACACAGAATTGTTACTGAGGGACACAGAATTGTTACTCAGAGGGACACAGAATTGTTACTCAGGGACACAGAATTGTTACTGAGGGACACAGAATTGTTACAGAGGGACACAGAATTGTTACTCAGGGACACAGAATTGTTTACTCAGGGACACAGAATTGTTACTCAGGGACACAGAATTGTTACTCAGGGACACAGAATTGTTACTCAGGGACACAGAATTGTTACTCAGGGACACAGAATTGTTACTCAGGGACACAGAATTGTTACTCAGGGACACAGAATTGTTACTCAGGGACACAGAATTGTTACTCAGGGACACAGAATTGTTACTCAGGGACACAGAATTGTTACTCAGGGACACAGAATTGTTACTCAGGGACACAGAATTGTTACTCAGGGACACAGAATTGTTTACTGAGGGGACACAGAATTGTTACTGAGGGACACAGAATTGTTACTGAGGGACACAGAATTGTTACTCAGGACACAGAATTGTTACTCAGGAATTGTTACTGAGGGACACAGAATTGTTACTGAGGGACACAGAATTGTTACTCAGGGACACAGAATTGTTACACAGAATTGTTACTCAGGGACACAGAATCGTTACTCAGGGACACAGAATCGTTGAATTAAAGAGTATGTCAGACAACACGCAGAGGAGTGGCAGAGGAGGCAATGTTTCAGGAGCGAGCAGACGTGGCAGCAGAGGAAGGGGTCGAGGCAGCACTAGTCGCAGCCAGAGGCCAGTGCTCCCGGTGTCATCCAGCGGTCGTGTCTCCACCGACAACCCTGCCGTCATCGATTGGTTGGCTCGGTCGTCTTCCTCTTCCCAGGTCACCTCTGACACCTACAGCCAACGGTCGGTGGGTACGTCAGACACAACCGTTAGTTGGCATGGCCCGGGAGCAAGCCCACTGAAATCACGTGTCCTCTACCTGCCCCTGTCCTTTGGTGTTCCCTCACCAAGCGAAGTATCGCATGCTGTGGGCTCAGCCCCACTGTACAGTGAGGAAGAGCTAACAGAGGGCGGTCAGGAACGGGGGAGACATCCGCCTCTTCAGCAGCCAGGCGAAGAAGTACTGGCGAGGAGAGTGGCTCGGTAGCCGGTCTAGAGACAGGTCTGTCTCCTGACCCACACGCAGCCGAGGGGGCTAGTAGTGAGGCGGAGACCCTAATTGATGATGATGAGGCTGATCGCACTTGGCAGCCTCGTCGTCATCAGGCTATTGCTTCCCGCATCATCAGGAGAAGAGGGTGCCAGCTTGGCAGCGAGCAAAACAGTCGGTGGGTTGCCCAGGAGGCAGCAGGGTCGCAGCAGTGTCAGTGGAGGCAAACGGCCACGGAGTAGAGCACCAGCTCCACTGCAGCCTACCACCACGGCCAGTAGTGGTGCCGGTGTGCACGGAGGAAGTAGCAGTCAGCCAGTGAGGAGTAGCGGGGGCAAAGTTTCCCGTACTCGGCGGTGTGTGGCAATTTCGTCAGCCGCCCGAGGAAGTAAACTAGCCGTATGTCGACTATGTGGCCAGAAAGTCAAGCGTGGCCAGGGGGCCCATGTCTCCATCGCCACACTCTGCCATGTGCCACTTTCAGGTCTCCTCACACTGCTGGTGGGTTCCATTTTGTCATAGGGTGCTGGCAGATTACGGGCCTCCCATTGCTGCTGCCAGGCCCGTAATCTGTCATGGGCCCCCTGTACCCATGCTGCTCCTCATGCTGCTGCCAGGCCCGTAATCTGTCATGGGTCCCTGTACGGCCTCCCATTGCTGCTGTCTCCATCGCCACACTCTGCCATGTGCCACTTTCAGGTCTCCTCACACTGCTGGTGGGTTCCATTTTGTCATAGGGTGCTGGCAGATTACGGGCCTCCCATTGCTGCTGCCAGGCCCGTAATCTGTGCCATGGGCCCCTGTACCGCCTCCTCATGCTGCTGCCAGGTCCAGATGTGTCATGGGTCCCTGTACGGCCTCCCATTGCTGCTGTCTCCATCGCCACACTCTGCCATGTGCCACTTTCAGGTCTCCTCACACTGCTGGTGGGTTCCATTTTGTCATAGGGTGCTGGCAGATTACGGGCCTCCCATTGCTGCTGCCAGGCCCGTAATCTGTCATGGGCCCCTGTACCGCCTCCTCATGCTGCTGCCAGGTCCAGAGTGTGTCATGGGTCCCTGTACGGCCTCCCATTGCTGCTGTCTCCATCGCCACACTCTGCCATGTGCCACTTTCAGGTCTCCTCACACTGCTGGTGGGTTCCATTTTGTCATAGGGTGCTGGCAGATTACGGGCCTCCCATTGCTGCTGCCAGGCCCGTAATCTGCCATGGGCCCCTGTACCGCCTCCTCATGCTGCTGCTGCCAGGCCCGAGTCTGTCATGGGTCCCTGTACGGCCTCCCATTGCTGCTGTCTCCATCGCCACACTCTGCCATGTGCCACTTTCAGGTCTCCTCACACTGCTGGTGGGTTCCATTTTGTCATAGGGTGCTGGCAGATTACTGCTGCCAGGCCTCCCATTGCTGCTGCCAGGCCCGTAATCTGTCATGGGCCCCTGTACCGCCTCCTCATGCTGCTGCCAGGTCCAGAGTGTCATGGGTCCCTGTACGGCCTCCCATTGCTGCTGTCTCCATCGCCACACTCTGCCATGTGCCACTTTCAGGTCTCCTCACACTGCTGGTGGGTTCCATTTTGTCATAGGGTGCTGGCAGATTACGGGCCTCCCATTGCTGCTGCCAGCCCGTAATCTGCCATGGGCCCCTGTACCGCCTCCTCATGCTGCTGCCAGGTCCAGAGTGTGTCATGGGTCCCTGTACGGCCTCCCATTGCTGCTGTCTCCATCGCCACACTCTGCCATGTGCCACTTTCAGGTCTCCTCACACTGCTGGTGGGTTCCATTTTGTCATAGGGTGCTGGCAGATTACGGGCCTCCCATTGCTGCTGCCAGGCCCGTAATCTGCCATGGGCCCCTGTACCGCCTCCTCATGCTGCTGCCAGGTCCAGAGTGTGTCATGGGTCCCTGTACGGCCTCCCATTGCTGCTGTCTCCATCGCCACACTCTGCCATGTGCCACTTTCAGGTCTCCTCACACTGCTGGTGGTTCCATTTTGTCATAGGGTGCTGGCAGATTACGGGCCTCCCATTGCTGCTGCCAGGCCCGTAATCTGCCATGGGCCCCTGTACCGCCTCCTCATGCTGCTGCCAGGTCCAGAATCTGTCATGGGTCCCTGTACGGCCTCCCATTGCTGCTGTCTCCATCGCCACACTCTGCCATGTGCCACTTTCAGGTCTCTCCTCACACTGCTGGTGGGTTCCATTTTGTCATAGGGTGCTGGCAGATTACGGGCCTCCCATTGCTGCTGCCAGGCCCGTAATCTGCCATGGGCCCCTGTACCGCCTCCTCATGCTGCTGCCAGGCCCGTAATCTGTCATGGGTCCCTGTACGGCCTCCCATTGCTGCTGTCTCCATCGCCACACTCTGCCATGTGCCACTTTCAGGTCTCCTCACACTGCTGGTGGGTTCCATTTTGTCATAGGGTGCTGGCAGATTACGGGCCTCCCATTGCTGCTGCGCCAGGCCCGTAATCTGCCATGGGCCCCTGTACCGCCTCCTCATGCTGCTGCTGCCAGGTCCAGAGTAATCTGTCATGGGTCCCTGTACGGCCTCCCATTGCTGCTGTCTCCATCGCCACACTCTGCCATGTGCCACTTTCAGGTCTCCTCACACTGCTGGTGGGTTCCATTTTGTCATAGGGTGCTGGCAGATTACGGGCCTCCCATTGCTGCTGCCAGGCCCGTAATCTGCCATGGGCCCCTGTACCGCCTCCTCATGCTGCTGCCAGGTCCAGAGTGTGTCATGGGTCCCTGTACGGCCTCCCATTGCTGCTGTCTCCATCGCCACACTCTGCCATGTGCCACTTTCAGGTCTCCTCACACTGCTGGTGGGTTCCATTTTGTCATAGGGTGCTGGCAGATTACGGGCCTCCCATTGCTGCTGCCAGGCCCGTAATCTGCCATGGGCCCCCGTACCGCCTCCTCATGCTGCTGCCAGGTCCAGAGTGTCTCATGGGTCCCTGTACGGCCTCCCATTGCTGCTGTCTCCATCGCCACACTCTGCCATGTGCCACTTTCAGGTCTCCTCACACTGCTGGTGGGTTCCATTTTGTCATAGGGTGCTGGCAGATTACGGGCCTCCCATTGCTGCTGCCAGGCCCGTAATCTGCCATGGGCCCCCGTACCGCCTCCTCATGCTGCTGCCAGGTCCAGAGTGTCTCATGGGTCCCTGTACGGCCTCCCATTGCTGCTGTCTCCATCGCCACACTCTGCCATGTGCCACTTTCAGGTCTCCTCACACTGCTGGTGGGTTCCATTTTGTCATAGGGTGCTGGCAGATTACGGGCCTCCCATTGCTGCTGCCAGGCCCGTAATCTGCCATGGGCCCCTGTGTACCGCCTCCTCATGCTGCTGCCAGGCCCGTAATCTGTCATGGGTCCCTGTACGGCCTCCCATTGCTGCTGTCTCCATCGCCACACTCTGCCATGTGCCACTTTCAGGTCTCCTCACACTGCTGGTGGGTTCCATTTTGTCATAGGGTGCTGGCAGATTACGGGCCTCCCATTGCTGCTGCCAGGCCCGTAATCTGCCATGGCCCCCCCGTACCGCCTCCTCATGCTGCTGCCAGGTCCAGAGTGTCTCATGGGTCCCTGTACGGCCTCCCATTGCTGCTGTCTCCATCGCCACACTCTGCCATGTGCCACTTTCAGGTCTCCTCACACTGCTGGTGGTTCCATTTTGTCATAGGGTGCTGGCAGATTACGGGCCTCCCATTGCTGCTGCCAGGCCCGTAATCTGCCATGGGCCCCCGTACCGCCTCCTCATGCTGCTGCCAGGTCCAGAGTGTCTCATGGGTCCCTGTACGGCCTCCCATTGCTGCTGTCTCCATCGCCACACTCTGCCATGTGCCACTTTCAGGTCTCCTCACACTGCTGGTGGGTTCCATTTTGTCATAGGGTGCTGGCAGATTACGGGCCTCCCATTGCTGCTGCCAGGCCCGTAATCTGCCATGGGCCCCCGTACCGCCTCCTCATGCTGCTGCCAGGTCCAGAGTGTCTCATGGGTCCCTGTACGGCCTCCCATTGCTGCTGTCTCCATCGCCACACTCTGCCATGTGCCACTTTCAGGTCTCCTCACACTGCTGGTGGGTTCCATTTTGTCATAGGGTGCTGGCAGATTACGGGCCTCCCATTGCTGCTGCCAGGCCCGTAATCTGCCATGGGCCCCCGTACCGACTCCTCATGCTGTGACGTTGCAACAAGGTGGAATTCAACCCTACATATGTTAACCGCCTTTACGAACAGCGAAAGGCCATCACCGATTTCCTGATGTTACAAGCGGATAAAGGTACTCCCCTGTGTAACTTAGATGTCAGCCATTGGCAGCTCATGCGTGACACCTGCCGCTTGCTCAGGCCCTTTGAGGAGGCCACGCTATTCGTGAGTCGGCAGGACTATGGGATGAACGACGTCATTCCTCTGTTGCACGTCCTGGAACAAATGCTGTTAACAATGGCTGGTCAGGGTGCGGTAGACGTGGCGCACAGATCTCAACGCCACATGACCCCTGTGGGGCAGGACAGGAAGAAGAGGAGGAGGTAGAGGAGGACATTGGTGCTCAGGAATTATTGAGTGAAATGGGTGGTTTTTCCACTCAGCGGACAGGAGTGGAGGAGCAGGAGCATCTGGTAGAGGAGGAGGAGGAGACAGAGGACCCAGACGCACCGTGGCAGTATGCTGTGGAGATGGAGGCAGGGAGTCCCTCGCATTCCTTGGCACAAATGGCCCATAGCATGCTCGGTTGCTTGCGTAGCGACAGCCGAATAATAACCATCAGACAGAGGGATGACTTTTGGCTGTCCACCTTGTTGGACCCTCGCTACCGTTCAAAAATGGTGGCCTTTTTCACACCTGCTGAGAGGGAGGCCAAAATAAAGTACTATAAAAACCACCTATGTAGTCAGTTGGTCTCTGCCTTTCTGCGCCAACGTCCATCCTCAGACACTGTGGGCCCTGTGCGCTCGCGTTCCGCTGCCATGGCAGCAGGGGAGGGGTGGGGTGGTAGGAGCAGTGGCAGCTCCACCAGCAGCGGCTGCCTCAGTCTGCAGTCGATGATGAGTAGCTTTCTTCACCAGCGCAGTGAGGAAACTACTAACCAGCCGCCGCAGCAGCAGCAGCATCAGGTGGACCTGGAGCAGGACCTCAAACAACAGGCTTGGGCCTACTTGGACAGCACCCTGCCAACCGAGGTAGACAATCCCCTTGACTACTGGGCAACGAAACTTGACCTTTGGCCCCAACTAGCTGAATTTGCCCTTGAAAGGCTGTCATGCCCGGCCAGTAGCGTGGCATCGGAGCGCGTGTTTAGTGCGGCAGGAGGTATTGTAACTCCGCGGAGGACACGACTGTCCACCCAAAGTGTGGAGAGACTCACGTTTGTGAAAATGAATCAGGCGTGGATTAGTCTGGATTTCAAACCACCAGTTCCTGACACAACTGACTAAATCCGCCATGAATCATGCCCCAAACATGTTATTATTTTTAACATAGGCCTCTGTATGGCCTTCAATTTAAGCTGCTTACGCTTCGCCACTCTGCCATGGGCCCCTGTACCGCCTCCTCTTGCTGCTGCCAGGTCCAGAGTGTGTCATGGGTCCCTGTACGGCCTCCCATTGCTGCTGTCTCCATCGCCACACTCTGCCATGTGCCACTTTCAGGTCTCCTCACACTGCTGGTGGGTTCCATTTTGTCATAGGGTGCTGTATGGCCTCCCATTGCTGCTGCCTCCACCGCCACACTGTGGCTCCACACTCTGGTTTTGGCCCCGTGACTGCCCAAATGAGTGAAGTGTGCGGTGATTCTAAGATCGACGGCACTCATCTGCATGTCATACTGACTGACAGTATTATTTCTCTTCCCCAGCAGACTCCAAGGGCATTTAAATTAAAGGTACAGTGTTCTGCACTAATATAAAGGCTCTCTGAAGCCTAGAAACACCCTTTTTATAAGTTAAATTCGCAGCGAATATATTTGCCTCGAATCAAATTTATTCCTCGAATTCGCCGAATCAGCCGAATCGAATTTTTGAATACTTCGCTCATCTCTAAATATAACATATATTACATATATAATATACATATAATATTCAAAATTTCAGATATTCCTGACTAAAATATATCAATGTTTAATATCTTGAATATAATAAAAGAAAGTATACCGTATGCAAAAAGTTTACACATTAGTGACCTAAAGGGAGTCTACGGCTTCAGAGCCTTATGTAAAGCACTCTCAGTATTTCTATAGACCAAGACCTTCAGTTAAGCTGATTTGAAAAATTCCAAAGGAGGGGATGGTGGTCTAACCGCCATAACACAATCTTGAAGATTTTATTTTCTGCTCATAATACAATGACAACTTATTTTATGAGACCTTCAGGAACTGTCTTCCCTGTATTGTGTGTTCTCTGTTATTTCACACTATTTATTTATATGACTGGTTGAAGCTGAATAACCTTGGAGATCAATTCAAGCAAACAGCAAGGTAGATTGATGTTAAGTACATAAGGAAAGGCACACATCTACACTGTGACTGACAACTTTTCTACGAGCACAGCGGACACAGACTGATGTATATGTACTCTGGGTGCCATCATTTATCATAATTTTTTTTCTAAATATCCTGAAAAGCAGGTTTTTGTGAACAGTTTCTGTAGCATTACCTGACCTCTAATGATTGCTAATGATCACACTTTGCTATGACCATCAACTATTGATTGTACAATTGGAGCATTTTATGATCATGCACGGCCATTCACAGATGATTGTACCTTACACAATTGGCTAGCTGCTGGATTGAAAATGTTGTGTGCTGTTTGCCCTTATGACAGCAATTTATATAGAATCTCTAGCTCTCATTGTTGCTCTGTGCCAAGATACTGAGGACAGATGTCCAGGTATTACACTATAATAGTTATCCAAACACATTATTTTATTTATGCTGATACCCACGCTCTCCACGACGATAGGTTATTTGTAATGGGAGTATGTATGAAAGTGCAAATGAACATTATGCTGTTTTTCTGCATTTTTCCACGCAACTAATGTATAGATTTGTTAGTGTTGTAACTGACACTTTAACCTCCCTAGCGGTCTGATTATGTCAGTATTTCTGTGCTCAAAGTGGTACATTGTTTTCAATGGAAATATGTTGTTTTTTTATTGTAGGCCTGTAATTCTTAGGAGTAACTCACTGAAATCTGTCCGAACAAGAGTCTAGTAAACATCCCGGGTATGATAAAAATTTGAAACACGAAATCATAAATTAATAATATAATAAATAATGATGATAAAAAAAATAATAATATAATAATAATAAATTTAATTCAATAATGTAATCAAACCAAAAACACTGAAATTTGAAATAGAGTGCCAAGTTTGCACATCACTGATCTTAGTTGCAGAATCGTTTTCAGTGTCTGCCGAATTTCCCCACAAATCATTATCACTCATTTATGCAAGTTGTTCTAATTTACTATCGCTGTTCTCTAGCTGGTCGAAAAACCGCTTTTGACCTAAAGGGACGCTTTTTGGACGCCATGGACATTCTCAGTTTCCAGGCAGAGAGAACAGTAAAAATGCAGGCAGGACACGGACAAAGTACTCGGGACAAAATGTATGTGAAATGCTTTGATACAGTAATGTTATACTATGAGATTTTAGTGTATTGAGTGAATGTCACATTTATACATTTTTGAATTTCCCGCTGGTTCTGTCCCCCGTACGTCCTATACGTCCCGACACTTGCTGGGAATGGAACCCGGAAGACGGATACCGGCATCAGCCGGATGAGATGGCCGAGGACGCTGCAAAGGGGACATCGCGGGATCGCAGGACAAGGTAAGTGATCGAGGGAATTCCTGAGCAATGCTGCAGGGTAATCCCGAGTGTAGCTCGGGGTTACCGCTTCTGGTACTGAAAGTTAACCCCAAGCTAGACTCGGGAATACCGCCAGGGGGGTTAATTATATTTTCCATTGGTATTTAATTCAAACTTTTTTTTTAAGAAGTTTGTAAAACTAAGTTTTTCTGTTTCTTTTGATAGATATAGGAAGGGTTAGGCCTTGTTCACATGGGACATAATATATCGTACCCCTGTGCAGGGGTGTGTGTTCCATGCATCCCTATGCAGGCAGTCCTATTGGTGTCTGTTGGGACATAGTGGCTGCATAGACACAACCACTATGTCCCAATATGATATCTATGTGGGTGCAGTTGCAGTGGCATGTGAGTCCCTAAACGCAGTCAGCATGAGTTTGGTATCCATATCCACACATCTGTCATATTGGGACACAGTTGCTGTATCCGTGTAGGCTTTGTGTTCCAATAAACATCAAATGGACTGCCTGTATGGGGGGATGTGAAGAACACTGGTAAATTCCAGGTAAACATGCCCCTTTATTGGCATATGGTATTGCACCATTTTGTACTTGCCTGCTCTGAACAATAGTATTGCACAGAGTGGCCTGAACCCCCTCTTCTAGGGTCCCCC